ATATCCGGGTTACACTGTATCTCCAAAACTTCATCGTTGCTCACACGCTCGGTCCATGATATCCGTAGCATCCTTCTGTAGTACCATATCTCCGCTGCCTCGAGTCTCTTCTTTATCTTTGAGGAGGCCGTCCGATATTTACACCGATACCATAAATATGTTAGTGATTTTCTGTACTGTCTATCAGTTTTTTTTCCCCGAAAGATTGCTCATTTATAGAAAACGGTAGAATAAACTGAATACTTTCGAAAATCATTTTTAAAATATCAAATCTCAGCCAACAGACTGAACAGTTGACATTTTCAGGATGCGGTCTCTTTGTTCAAAATAGTCGAGAATTAAAAAGCCGTAGTTAGAGAGAGTATCTAAGCAAGAGAAGACTGGGCAGAGGAAAACAATGAAGAGGTTTATTAAATACTCATACATAGAAAAAAAAGACCTTGAGTAAATCAACTCCTCCTCAAATCCTACTTTAATGTTTCCATATTTATAAGTAGGGGCAGTCCCTTGTAAGAGTAGAAGGGGAGAACAGGAAATACACTCAGTCCTACTCTACAACATCCAAGTATTAAAGAATATATTTTGTCACCTCGAAGCAGTGTAATGGTTACCATTCCCTCCCTCGTTAGGTGGTCGGTGATGTTAGTTCTCTGGTGGATGTGGGGCGCTTTTCGTTTTTCGCCTGTTTGTTTTCGTTTTTGTTGTCGTGTCTGAATGAGTTCGCGTTTGTGTGAGTGCTAGGGATGAATGAATGTTTTACTAAAGTTCCGCATTGATTTCGTCCAATTAACTGATGTTTCTGCCACATTTAAGTATTGTGGGAGATTTTTATTACTAACATGATTTTATTTAGTTTATTGTAAATAGACTATATTTTTTTTAAGCATTACGTCCCGAGCAAGGCGTGAAGCCACTAGGATGCAGGGGTTTGCGGAAGATTTGGAGCAAGAGCAGATAGGAATGATAGAAGAAAGGATGAGGAGGGGGATAGTGGGTAGATCAAGTTAACTGGAGGTGTCGATTGACATTACATTTGAATAGTTGGAGATTATAGCTCTCAGGGAAACAGTAATTGGGAAGGGTGTTCCACAGGCGAGAGGTGCGAGGTATGAAACTATTGGAGTAGAAGAGGCGGCTACATTTAAAAGTTTCTACAGTGTAAGGGTGGGAGCGGGATGCCAGCCTCGTAGGGCGCTTGAATTCATGGAGTATTGTACATACTCATTACGATTTTCATAGAGACAACGAGGTATTATGGTGAATGTAGTGAGAAAGGTACGTAAGAATGTGTTGTTTTGGTGTAAGGAATATTGTTTGTATGCTTGGGTCAGTGTTTGCGGATAGCTAAGTTTAAAGTTAAGACAGATGAAGACCGTCCTTTTTCCCCATCCCCATTTTTTAGGCCTTGTGCCACGTTTTCTGTATTTTTAACAGAAATAATTATCGGAATGTTTAGCAAGCTTGTCTCGCTAAAACAATTACGACTGTATAGTGAGTTCAATCCTCACTAGATGTCTCCTACTTTCGGCCTTGTGCCACATCTAAGGTACGCTCAGAAAATCGTTGCTAGAGAAAATATTATCAGCCACAAATGGAAATGAAATTTACGATCATTAAATGGAAAACTGGACACGTATAAAAAATTCTGTTTAATGTTTTTTTTTTAAAGAAAATATAGGAGACACGGTGGAGTAATGGACAGAGACTCGGAGAGCCGAGTTCGAATTCCAATCGAATCCATTACATTCACTAACGTGCTAAAACCTTGGGAAAAGTATTAATCCTCTTCTCTACCAGCTATGTGTAAATAGTAGGACAGACCGGGTTCTATAAACTTTGATGGCAACTGATCTACCGCAGAAAGAAATGGCAAACTACTGCGGGGAAAAAATCTGCCTCGTCAGTCATGTATCGAAAGATACATGATCGCCAAAGTGTGTATCACGCATGGTACATAACTGACTGATTTTGGGGATAGGTATGAATCCTTTTATTTTCTCCCCAGCTATGGGTAAATAGCAAGACAGATTGGGTTCTAGGGGCTTGAATGTCAACTGCTCTACCGTAGAAAGAAATGACAAACTACTGCTGGGAAAACTCTGCCTCGTCAGTCATGTATCGAAAGATCATCTAAACGTGTATCACGTATGTCACATAACTGACTGATAAAAACAACAGCCAAGACGAAAGTGATTTCAGCCTGACAGTCTGGAAAACTACAATGAATAATTACTTTATACAGTTTTAAACTCGTTAAAGGAAATATAAGGAAAGAGATTTAAACTTTGTAATATTTATCAATGAAACAAGTGAGATTCAACTGGGGATTTTCATTCACTTGGTCAATAGAAATTTCGATTCGTCAGGCCCAATGGTTTTGGGTGCAGAGATTATGAAACCAACTGATTATTAAAGATAATACATTCTTCAACAAGAAGGTGTAATTTTCATTTTCTTAAGCATTGAATTACTATTGTATTTTATCCATTAAATTTTTCATCATGGAAATCTTCTATGAAAGATAACTACAACCAAACATTATTTTAAGCCACCAAATTGATGAGTACCTTTTTTTTCTTTAACCCTAGAACACTAACCATCAATTAAAGTTACACCACTACTAACCATGGGTATATCATACCCGATTTTGAAAATATAAAAAAAAAATATCAAATATAAATCTTCATTTGAAATATTTTACATGCAGGCACTGCAAACTTTGTACTTTCAGTTAACATTAATAGGAATGGGTACTATATACCCATGTTTAGTGTCCTAGGTTTAAGCTGAGGCTATTATTTAGATATGTGTAGGGAGACACAAATGAGTGCAACAAAATTGACAGCAGTATTTAAGCAATTTTCTAATTGTCTGAGTAGTATTGACTTTTTTCAAATTAGCCGAGTATTAGGGAGGCTGTACTGAGAGAGAGAGAGAGAGAGAGAGAGAGAGAGAGAGAGAGAGAGAGTATCGAAGGAACTGAAGACTTGCTAGAGGAAAACAAAGAAGTTTATTTACTGCTCATATACAGATCGGAAATACTTTAGAAAATCAAATACTACTCAAATCCTACTCTAATGTAGCTACTTGCCATATTTATAAGTAAGAGCAGTCATTTGTCACAGTAGTATGGAAGAGCAGGAAGTAAGCTGAGTCCTATTCTACAACAACTTCTTTTGCAACTCTTTTTAAGTTTATCTTTTTGCTGTCTTTCCTAATCGCTGTTCTGTCAACATCCCCACACAAGTCCGTTAGGTTGGTTTCTCCTGTGTCACTTGCCTTCATTATGTACTACGAGTGTCAAAGTTTAGAAACCACCTTTCAACATTCTCTTTCTGATTATAAGTATGAGCGTTGTTTCCATTTTTCTGAAAACTTCGTTGTTGCTCACATGTTTATTTCATGGTATTCTCAGCATCCTTCTGTAGAACCTCATTTCTCTTTCCTCAGAAGGCTTCTTTATCTCTCCAGAAAGACTGATATTACATAACAGTTCAGTACGCTTTTGATTGTTTCCAATCAAATTTTCCTGTTTCTTAATATTTTGTATAACTTTTTGAAAGCATCTTTCGCTATCCCAGTACGCCCTCGCATTTTTCGTCCTCTGTTAAAACACTTCCAAGTGATTTGAATTTTTGTACTTGCTTATTTTGATTGTCTCTAATTTGTAGTCTTTTAAGCATACATTTTTATAAAAAAAATATTTTTGTTTATCACTTTCGAATCTATTGCATTAGTTCCAAAAAATCATGAAGAACACTCTCTCCAGGTTCATGACAATTTTCGTCTAGTTCACTTAGGATCCCTGAGTATGACGATAAACTACACCCGGCAGCAAGGCCACTGATCGGGAGTTTGGAGGTTTTAATTGCTCGAAGGGTAGAGCCTATTAGGGTCCAAGCTATGGGCAAATAGTGAACCCCTACAAAACACTATGAAATTAAAAAAGATACATTTTCATAGTAAAAATACCATCAATATATTTTTATATAAAAAGGACCGTAACACATGACCAGTAATACATTTTATTGGTTTTTGAATACATATAGTTGCGTTCAAAATATACAGGGTGTTTCAAAAAATTTGATATCATTTGAGATGTAAATATCACAGAAAGTACATGATTAAGGCAAATGAAATTAAAAAGTATTAATGTTGAAGATCATAAGATTTATTCTTCGAAATCTGAATGAGAAATTCAAAAGCATGTGGATTATGTGAACGATTTCACAAATGTTCAATATGCGCCCCGCCTGAGACACGGCATACGTCAAGTCGGTAATCCAGCTCCTGCCAAACACGCTGAAGCATATCTTGGGTAACAGTCTCCAGTGCTCTATTGATTCTCTACTTGAGTTCTTCTATGTTTGCAGGAAGACGGGGAACATACACCATTCCCTTCACGTAGCCCCAGAGGAAAAAGTCACAAGGTGTTAAATCAGGTGAACGGGGCGGCCATTTCAGCAACACAATTTTTTTAACACCAGCACGCCCGATCCATAAAGACATAGAAACATAAAACAAACATTAAACATAAAGATGCTATTAAAATTTGAAGTCATTTGAAGGAGATCTAACAAAGTTATTAGATTGCGAAATGATATCAAATTTTTTGAAACACCCTGTATTTAGAACAAGTCATAAAACTGTGTTAAAATTATTTAGATTTTGGCATTAAATAACCCATAGAGATGTTGATATGCCGCTAAACAAAATCAACCACCCAACATAGGAGCCCTATATTTAATTTGGTCTTGCACGACACTTCTTTTGGGTGCGCGTTTAGATAGGTCTTGTTACTTCTAACCAGGGAGTGGATTCGATGAATGCGGTGGAATGTATCAAACGTAACATTTCAGTAACTATTTCTGAATTAACAAAATTCAACCAGCAGCCTGAAAAAAAAGGTGAAAATTGCACTTAAATGATTTAATTTTTTTTTTCAGTTGGTGGCTTTTAAACATTTGATTAAAATTATTTTTTTTTCTTTTTCTTTTTAGATTTTATTCCGTCAGGCTTAAGTGAGGGTGATGCTGTCTTTCCTCGGGGTGATGACAATTATGTTTACGAATGTCCATCAATAGAAGTTCCGATTGATTCTAAAGATTTGGGATGTTTTTATGTGAGTAACACTGGAGTTAATTTCAGAAAAGACATTATTATTAAGGTTTTCATTTAGACTCATTTAAATGTTTTGTTCAATTTCAGGATTTTCCCAGTCTGGTTTCTTTATTCTTTCATTTCTTTCTCTTATTTTAGGTAGGCTTTCTGTTTTTACATTACAAACAATGTGGCTCAGTTCTTTGAGGACACCGTCCTGCGTAAGACAATAAACTACACCCGCGTCCTGGTTTAGAGGATAAACTATATCCGCCTCCTGGGTAAGACGATAAACTATATCCACCTCCTGGGTAAAACGATAAACTACATCCGCGTCCCGGGTAAGACTATAAACTACATTCGCGTCCCGGGTAAGACGATAAACTATATCCGCGTCCTGGGTAAGATGATAAACTACATCCGACCGCAAGGCGTCTGATCAGGAGGTTTTGAGGAGCGTGGAACCACCACTTCATTGCTGATGTTCCCAGCACCACCCTAACCCGGGGTAGTAGCAGCTTTCATGTTCTCTGCTATGTGAAAATAGTTAAGCCTCATATTTGGGTCAATACACTATGAAAGTGTAAAAATAAGTTTTAATACCAGCAATAAATTTTTGAATGAAAAACTATTACCAGCAATTCGTTATTACCAGTTTGAAGATACAATATTACCATTTTGAAGATACAATATTACCATTTTGAAGATACAATATTACCAGCAATACACTTTTGAAAAAAATATTACGAACAATATATATTTGAAAAAAAAATTACAGTAATAAATATCTTGTCGGCATTAAATAACCGATTGAGGTTGATATATCGTAAAACAAACGAAATCAAACCAAATCTTTGAGGATATTTGTATGAATAAACTTAGTCGTTAAAACAGAGTTTGTTTTGTGCAAAATTGGCAATCTCAAGATTCTTCTTGACTCATCTACTCAAAGAATCCCCCATCAGCATCGAGACTGCCTCAAATGTCCAAAATATTGACATGACAAAATCATATGATCTTTATCTATTTTGGACATTGTGCGAGTTATGGCAAAATTTAAAGATTTTTATAGTTTTATGCTGACGTTGATTGACTTGCTTCTCGACTACACGCTATACAGAGATGTTTAACTGATTTACAGCTAAGAGGCTACATTTTGGTGCTGAAGTGACCTTGTAGATTGTATTTAATCCATTTTTGGGTCGTCTCGGCATTATGAGACGGCACTGAGTCGTGTTGTTAGTCGGTGTACAGAGCATTGAACTTTAAGCCTCGAGGGTAGAAGTGAGGAGGTATATCCAGCTTGTGCCCCTCCCCCAAGCCTCCCAGAATCATCACAGTTGTCAAACGTTTTGTGAATGACGCTGATGAAGATGGAGGAGGTCTTGTTCCATCATAACCATCATTCAATTTCTTCGATTTGCATTTTGGTCTTGATCAAAGTTTTCCTTATTATAGAAAAGAAAAACAAGCAAAAATAAAGCCTTCTGTTTCATCCTTTAACACAGTAATAATATTAGTTTTATTAGCATGGTCTGGGTATTAGCCATGCAGAGGTCTTGCCAGCTTTCTTTCATCCGTTCAAGGGATTTATCCGTGGCTTTGTTTTCATATTTTCTACTGCAACAATTTGTTCTTGGGTTCTGTTTTTGCTTTTCTACAGAATCTACTAAATATAAATCTTCTTTGTACAGTGTAACCTGGAAATAAGAGAGTTGCCGGGACTGGAGAAGAAGTCTCTTATATCCGGGTTTGGTCTAATTTATATACATTAACACAGGCTCTAATTTGGGACCAGAGAAGATCTCTCTTATATCCGGGTTTATCTTATATCCGGGTCTCTTATATCCGGGTTACACTGTATTTACAACCTTCTTTCATGATTGAATATTTTTTTCTTTCTGTTTTCGTGTTGTTTGACTAATTGTATTATCCAGTCCGTTGTTGCCATGTATATTATTATTATTATTATTATTATTTATTATTATTATTATTTTTTTCTTTGATTTCTGGCGTTTACACATTTCTTTCCGGGTCCCGCCCAGAGACCTAAGGTTAGAAATGGCGTCATGACACTTTCCACTGACAAAAAAAAAAAAAAAAGAATTAAATTACATCGATAAAGCCCTTTGTAAGGTGTGGGCTGTACTTGTCAGAACAATTTTTTGTATCTCCTTGAGGCATGGACATATTATTATTATTATTATTATTATTATTATTATTATTATTATTATTATTATAATATTTTCTTTGATTTCTGACGTATACACATTTCTTTCCGTGTCTTGATTTGCATAATGACATTTTTCCACTGAGCAGATTTGAAAAAATAAAAAAAAAAAAAATAACATCGTATTTCATGGGCTACAATTACTACAATGAGTCTATTGGAATCTTTTCCAATCAATCTGAGGGCTCTAACTACAACAGGTATTGGTAATGTCCCAATACGCTACATTTTTTGAGGTCCTTGTATTTTGATAGTTTTTGAAGATACATTTGAATCTTCAGGGACTGCCATGTCAATAAGGAGACATATTTTGTCTTTGCAGTCTCTGTTCACGATATCTGGTCAATTAGCTTTGATTGTTCTCTCTGTGTCTATTTTAAAGTCCCATAAAATTATTATTATTATTATATTTTGTGTATTTTTTGTTTTTTTAGATATCGACCAATGGCTATATAACAAATGGGTACTTACTGCCCTACAGCCCCGCGAAGTCGGAGATAGACCCAGACAAAATAACATTAATGCCTCTATGGACTGACATCGACACACGTTTTTCGGGAGAGTTTTATTACCAAATCGTTGACAAATATAACAGAAACAATAAAGACATAACACAAATAAATAAAAATCTTAATTACACTCGAAGTCTCTTTGCCCGTTATGGACAAAAGAATTTCGATCCAGTGTGGGTTCTAAAATTGACTTGGATTTCTGTCATGCCTTTTGAATCGACGAATGCGACTGAGGTAAGTAATAAATCGTACATCATCATCTGAAATCAGGTTGTCCTCAGAATATCGCATTAGAAATCACCCTTCAATCCTGTTTTTCACGGCCGAAACACCGCTGCTGCTCTATCGCTATTTCCATGGAAAGTGCTCAGACGAGCTACATTCCTAATTTCTAACATTCCACGCACATTGTAACGAACCGCCCTTTGTATTCCTTTAGTGAAATATAAGTTCCACTTGAGCTGCTTCTTCCTGTGAACCGCTGATCTGTGGAAACGACTACCAAGCAATGTTTTCTCGATCAATACAATCTTATCCTGTTCAAGTGTAGAATTAATCGCTATTTCCCCCACATATCCGCATAAATTGTGCCTCTTATTCTGTAACCCTTGCCTTGAGTGGCTCCCGGCCATTATACACGGTAAATATCACTGTAAAAAAAAGAACAAAAAAAAGAACAGGTTCCCCGAAAACAGAAGATGGTGATTGACAAGGAAGCAAGAAACCGGAAGACCGTTTCATAGGCGAGATAAGAAACTATTAGAATAGAAATTACGGTTGCATCTAGCTAGGTCAACAATAAATCAGTGAGATCTAGTTTCCAATCAAGTAGCCTGCTTTATCTTTCATTGTAATCGCTCGAATTGTCTATGGTGGCAAAAGAACCAGAAGATTTTGGTAAGACGAACTAGTTTCAATTTCCCTTTCATTTTCCAGTATTTCCATAGCAGACGTATTACCAATTATATCATAAGTTACCAATTATACCATGTATTACCAATTGAACAACAAGAGCTTTTCTGTTAACCGATGATAAATTTTAACTAATTAAACTAATTCTTCACTTTTCTCCGATCACCTCATTATCCCCTTACCCGGAAGGAAATGAATAAAAAAAAAGAGGAAAAAAAAAAAAAAAAAAAAAAAAGAAAAAGAGAACAAAAAGAAAAAAAGTAAAAAAAAAAAAAAGAAATTGTCAGATTATTTTTCATGACGTCACGTGTAGTTGTGCCGGAAGCAACTAAAATTAACATGTACAAATTTTAGTAAAATATGAATAATGGTTGACAATTTATCAACTTAAAAATATCATAAAACATTTATACTTATAAAGCAAGATGAAAGTAATCCTAGTCAAAAGTGAATAATGCTTGATAATGTTTCATCTAACAAAAAAATCCCAGATATTACTTCTATTATTAATATTAGTATTCTGATAGATTTAGAAGTCTTTCCAGGATACATTATTGACGAGCACAATTAAGCGCAGTACTAGATTGCTAACAAGCTCTTATCAATTTACAGTTGAATTGGCGATACGCAACCGTAAGTTCTATGGTAACAGTTTCTTCTTTGGCGCTTCTCGCTTATGGAACTCACTTCAAGGTCCCATGCTTTTCAGTAAACTTTGATCTTTAAAAATGTAAATGCAATGTCAATCGTTATCTACTGTCTTCTTGATTCCACTTCTTTTATTATTCCTGATTCTTAAGCACGTCTCTATGTTTTTTCTTATTCTTTCACACTCAGTAACACCTTGCGTCTGTTCTTTTATTGCTTTTTCTCCTTTACTCATCTTTTCTTTCTCTCACTCCGAGTAACTACTTGCGTCTTAGTAGCATTATCCCCTTACTCGAGGTGAAATGAATAAAAAAAGAGAAAAGAAAAGGAAAAAAGAGAAACTGTCAGATTATTTTTCATGACGTTTCCTAGTCTAGAATATTAATTTCCAAAATAAATTCGAATCCATTACATTCATTAACATGCCAATAGCGTTGGAAAAGGTATGAATCCCCTTCTCCCCCTAGCTATGGATAAATAGCAGGATAGACTGGATCTATAGCCTTGGATGGTAAATGGTCTAGGAGAAGGATAATTCTGAATTCAAAATCTGCGGAAGGTCGTTTGGGGACTTTGTGTCACACGGTGCACCAGGTCTCTGTATTGGGCTCTTCAAAACAAAATGGTGGCTGGTTCTACACAAGCCTTCACAACTCTAAACAAATCCTCTTTGTGGGTAATCCACAGTTCAGCTCTGCGTTCAGGGTCGTTATCTCATACGAGGCATAAACATAAAAAAAATCGAACTGAAAAGACACTCACACTTCGAAAACGACGGGAGAGTCCATTAAATGATGCCATCTCCCTAGACTGGGATGTTGATAGAAAGAAATATTTTGATTGGGGTCAAATGATTAAAAAACACAAGTTCTCATAGAAATGCCTTGCTGTATAGTTTTAAATAAATCTAGTGACAAAACACATTCTTGTTGCAGGTTTTTTCTATCTTTCTTTTACGTGTGTAATAGTGATTTTCCAAGCGTAGCTTGGATGTGGCACAAGGCTGAAAGTAAGAGGACCTAGTGAGGATCGAACTCACTACTCGGTCGTAATTGTTCTAGCGAGACAAGCTTGCTAACCATTACACCACCTCGAGGGGCCCAAATAGTAATTTTCTAAACCCGGCTTAGATGTGGCACAAGGCCGAAAGTATGAGGCACCCAGTGAGGATCAAACTCACAACTCAGTCGTAATTGATCCAGCAAGACAAGCTTTCTAACCATTACACCACGTCGAGGTGCCCATAAAAGATTTTCTAAGCGTAACTTAGATGTGGCACAAGGCCAAAAGTAGGGAGCACCCAGTGAGAATCGAACTCACTACTCAGTTGTAATTGTTCTAGCAATACAAGCTTGTTAACCATTACACCGCCTCGAGGTGCCCAAATAGTAATTTTCTAAACCCGGCTTAGATGTGGCACAAGGCCGAAAGTATGAGGCACCCAGTGAGGATCAAACTCACAACTCAGTCGTAATTGATCCAGCAAGACAAGCTTTCTAACCATTACACCACGTCGAGGTGCCCATAAAAGATTTTCTAAGCGTAACTTAGATGTGGCACAAGGCCAAAAGTAGGGAGCACCCAGTGAGAATCGAACTCACTACTCAGTTGTAATTGTTCTAGCAATACAAACTTGTTAACCATTACACCGCCTCGAGGTGCCCAAATAGTAATTTTCTAAACCCGGCTTAGATGTGGCACAAGGCCGAAAGTATGAGGCACCCAGTGAGGATCAAACTCACAACTCAGTCGTAATTGATCCAGCAAGACAAGCTTTCTAACCATTACACCACGTCGAGGTGCCCATAAAACATTTTCTAAGCGTAACTTAGATGTGGCACAAGGCCAAAAGTAGGGAGCACACAGTGAGAATCGAACTCACTACTCAGTTGTAATTGTTCTAGCAATACAAACTTGTTAACCATTACACCGCCTCGAGGTGCCCAAATAGTAATTTTCTAAACCCGGCTTAGATGTGGCACAAGGCCGAAAGTATGAGGCACCCAGTGAGGATCAAACTCACAACTCAGTCGTAATTGATCCAGCAAGACAAGCTTTCTAACCATTACACCAATGTCGAGGTGCCCAAAAAGATTTTCTTTGGCAAAGGCCATTCGACACCTACGTCGAGGTTCTAGCAATACAAGCTTGCCCATAAAAGATTTTCTAAACCCGGCGTAACTTAGATGTCGGCCACAAGGCCAAAAGTCGAGGAAAAGCACCCAGTGAGAATCGAACACCCACTGAGAATCTCAGTTGTAATTGTTCTAGCAATACAAGCTTGTTAACCATTACACCGCCTCGAGGTGCCCATATTCCGTGTGTAATAAATGACAAAAACGCTCCAGTTGTTGACAAGGTATCCCATAATGCTTTTTAAATGACCCACTTCGTTACAATGGATGTTTTTTTCCAACACGGTATATGGTAAATGTTTCTGTAAATGAAATCCTGATTTTATAGTCTTGATATACTAATAGTCACTACATTTTAGCGTTTGATTTTCGCATGTGGCAATAATATCTTCGTCCTAATTGTACTTAAGATGTTTTATCCATTGTCTTAACCGGTCTTATCCCAATCTGCAACACACCCGGTGAAGAAAAGTCCATTTTTTTTATTTCTGGCCAGCAAATTTCGACGTGCATACTGCATAAAAATGAATTAATTTTATTTTCTATGCAACCAATTCATCTAGCTAATTAGCAATTACCCTAAAAATTCACTGTCGCTCGATCCTTTTAAACATTTTTAAATTCAGATTCACTATATATGTTCATTTGAAGGGTTATCATCAGTTTGACTAAGGAGGCCCATCTAGCCCGGTTTTGAAATCAGTGTGATCCTTCTCCTAGACAGGATGCCAAACAAGGCTCGACGGGGTATTGAACTAAACAAGACAGAAACGTTCAGCTACCCGCATGAAGTGGCCAATGGCTGTATTCACTTGAGCAGTGGTCGGAAGAGGATTTTGTCTCTTCCGATATGACTTTTTAAGAAGGAGAATCATGAACAAAAATGAAGGTTTGAGTTGTGAAAATGGAGTGACAGCCGAGTTTTAATTGACCTCCGCGGAAATAACCTTGGTAAACAGATGAGGAGGATAGACTGGAGGTTATAGCCGTGGTTGGCAACAAGTCTAGGAGAAGAACAACTTTGAATTCAAATCCTTGACCATGGCCCGTCTTCCACGACTCTCAGTAATGAAGGATAGGAAAAATTTAAAAAAAACGGACATTTTGGCATCTGGCTTTGCCGTGTGTGTGTGTGTGTGTGTGTGTGTGTGTGTGTGTGTGTGTGTGCATGCGTGTGATAAGTGAGTATGAGTGTTTATGTATCTATATATGTATGCGTGTGTTTATGTGTGCATGTGTGTGTATGCGTTTACATGTGCGTTTGTTATTGTATATGTGTGTATATATGTATATGTATGTCGTATATGTGTGTATCTATGTATCTGTATATGTGGGTGTCTATGAATATATGTGTGTATATGTATATATGTGTGTGTATGTATGAGTGTGTGTATATATGTTTTTATGTGTACATGTGTGTATGCGTTTATGTGTGTGTATCTGTGTATGCATGTATATGTGTGTTTGTGTGTGTATGTGTGCGTATATGTGCATATGCATCAGTGTATGCGGCTATTTATGTGTATGCATGTGTGTATGTATGTGTATGTACGTATGTGTGGGGGGTGTAATCTGAACCTTGTTTAATTAATGTTCGTTTCCATTGCAGAAGTTAACATTCCAGTTTATTCTTGCTACGGACGGTACTGTCACCAACATGGCCTATATTTACGATGATTGTGAATTCAAATGGTCACGTTTGAGAAAGGCCATTATGGGTTATGTTTACCCAGGCTACAGTTACTACCATAGAGATTCCCTCTTTCCGGATATATACCTGCTTGGAAGGAAAGGCAACACCATAAGTAAGAAATTTGTTTTGCAGAAATTGTTTTAGTTTTCTTTTCTGTCTATATATCTGAGATGAGTCACTTAGTGTAACTATTTACACAGTTCGGACTGTTGTCCTCAGATTTATTGTCATATTCACGATGTTTCGGCCGCTGTACGCACCTGCCTTCTTCAGGATCTATCTATATTTCTGAGATGACGTATTGTAATTATTAACACTGTTTACATCATTCGGAGTGCTGTCCTCATCTTTATTGACATATTGCTGACGTTTCGGCCGTTGTACGCTCTGGTTTTCTTCAGGATCTGTCTATATTTCTGAGATGACGTATTTTAACTATTTACACTATTTACATCATTCGCACTGTTGTCCTTTTCTTTATTGACATATTGCTGACATTTCGGCCGTTTAACGCTCCGGCCTTCTTCAGTTGATATACTTTGGAATTTTGAACCGAGTCCTTTATTTAGTCCATGGGGTGGGTGTAGATTGTTCTGTCATGCCTTTTTGGATATCTCAATATCAGTTAATTCCCTTTAGTTACTCAAATCTTCAAGTTTTTGTTTTCTCTGACGGTATTGAACTCATAATGAATCAAGTCAAATTTTTATCCACTGGGCCATGTGTCCTGTCTTATAAACTATTTTTTGTCCTATACAAGAGCCACTGAAGACAGAAGGGAAGGTTATTCATTGAGGTTTCTACAAAGGCATAAAAATATCAAATAAGTAGTGTATATAATATGCATATATAAGACAGATAGCAGTTGACCCTAGAGATAAAAATTATAGTGATCGAGGGAGTATCCTTGGGAGTCTGTCCCACAAAGTAAGATCTGGTGAGGAAGCCGGCCGCTTGGAACTTCTTGCAGGTGGTATGCGAAGGCAATGTGGACGAGACGAACATGTGTATGTCAAATGGCGTAACTGAATGTGTAAAAACTAAGTACTTATCTCAATATAAATCTACCAAGAAGATAGAGGGGACGTACCAGTAATAATGACAATCTGGTGTTGAAATGGTCACCACGTTTACTTGACTTGAGATCTTGTAATTTTTTATATGAGTCTATGTGAAAAGACAAGTCTATATCCCACCTCTTCCTACAAGCCTAGAGAAGCTTAAGCAGAGAATCACTGAGGCGCTTGAGAATGTTACGCAAGACATGCTACAGCGTTGTTAGCAGGAGCTGGACTACTGACCTGACGTCTGTCGTGTGAGAGGTTGTGTGTATTTTGAACATTTGGGAAGCTTTGTGAAACCAGCTATAAAATGTACATCCCTTTGAATATCTTGTTCAAATTTCGGCAATAAAACCTATATAATTTCGTTAGTCTGGAACATGGAGTTACTCGGATATTCTCATATTAAATTACGTCAATTTTGGGGGTACACCATGTATATATATATATATATATATATATATATATATATATATATTATATATATATATTTTGTTTATATGTTATTTTTTATAGATACAAATATTTAAGTAAATGCTATATTTATAATAAACACTATTAACAACATGTACCGACGTGAATATTCGAGAAATCGCAGAGAAAAATTTTTGTCCTCCAACAGGAATTGAACCTGCATCCTACACGGAAGGGCCATATAGCTTGATGTGGATACAGGTTCGATTCCTGTCGAAGGAAACAAATTTTTCTCTGAGATTTCTCGGACATTCAATTAATACTGTTTATTATAAACACAGCATTTACTTCAATATTTGTATCTATAAAAACCACGTGTAAATAAAATGTATATTAAAATAATTGTCGGATTTAGTCGATTTCATTATATATATATATATATATATATATATATATATATATATATATATATATATATATATATATATATATATATATATATATTGCTATATATATTTGATTGTTTGATAGTCTTTAAAGTGTTTACGTCTTGGGGTCAACAATCACTTTAACTACTTTCAGTATAAGGGATTTCAATGTTTTTTTTTACGACGTGTCAATCCAATACAATTTTGTCATTGTTTACGTTAAGATACATTTCGTGAGCAGAAAATGAAACGAATATTGCGTGTTTATAAACAGCATTTCGAACTTTGCTAATCAGACGCTTCTCTGTAGCTGAACAGTACAGCACTTCAGGTGAAATGACGGTTTCTGTATAGGAATATAAGTTCGCATTCCTGTTGGAGAACGCATATTTTCTACGAAATTTCTCAACCACTCAGGCCGGTAAGTGTGATTAATACTGTTTGATTAAAAACATAGCATTTACTGGCTCTTGCAGCGTGTCTCACTGACGGTGGTTCGAGGCAATGCTTTCGCCATCATTGCATAGCCATCAGAGCATAGCAAAATATATATATATATATATATATATATATATATATATAGTTACTTAGTTCAAACTTTTTTTCAATAAAATGTTAATTGCCGATGATAATGGCTGCTCCGGGAAAAGAAAAATTCTCAGTACTTAAATAAACTGTATTTATAAAAATAACGTATAAACAAAAAAGTATATTGTACTGTATTGCATATTTTATTAATCTACTGTTTTGTAATAATGTGACTTATTCAGCGATCATATATTTTCACAAGTTCCACTTATTTTAAGTCCAGAGTAAATTTTATATGTTTCCTATCTATCCTAATCCCACTTCGGTCAACCATTTACAAAAGCTTATTCTTTTTCTTCTATATGCTGTGTCCATTTAGGATGTGAGCGATCATGGCTCTCCACAATTTCCTGTCCGTTGTAATTTTTAGTATATTTTGATTTCTCCTAATCCCTGTTCTACCAATCAGTTACACAAGCTCGTTCTTCTATGTACCATGTCCACTCAGGAAATAGACGATTTTGGCTCTCCACAACTTCCCGTCCTTTGTAGTTCTTAGTATATTTTGTCTTTTTGATGACTCTCCTAATCCATGTCCTGTTAACCATATTCAGATACTGGTTCATTTTTGAATTTTTCTCTTTCCTATCTTAGAAATTACAGCTGTTTTTTTTTTCTTGGGTGACATATAAGTGTAGTTTTGTTTCTGTTTTCTAATGTTCGTCATTGTTTACATATTCAGTCCTTGGTATCCTCAGCATCTTTCTGTAGAACCATATTTCTATTCCCTCAAATCTCTTCTTTATCTGTGAGTAGAATGTTCAGCATTGACAGCCATATTGAAACACCTATATTGCATATCAATTCAGTAGGCTTTTCTTTGTTTTTAACAAGATTCTCGTCTTTCTTGATACTTGCTTAGCTTATGGAAGACATCGTTCGCTGACTCAATACACCTTCGAATTTCGTTGTCACACTTTCTCCGTCTTCTGTTAGAACACTTCCTAGATATTTACATTTACTTGCTTGAATTTGGAGTCTCTTATTTGTTATTTGAATGTTGGGATCTTCTTTTTACTGATAACCAGACATTCTGCTTTCTTACAATTGATCCTTACTCTTTTCTTCCAACTCTATCAGTCCGTTAAATTAAGAGTTAACCTTAGCTTCTCAAAGAAGGAGAATGCGGATTTTGGAACAGAAACAGAGGTTTATCGCTTGTTTGCTATTTAGAATTAGGTTTTCATTTCTTTCTAAAGCCTATTGAAACTCTGTACTTCTCGGGCTAAGCCATATACTTAGTCTCCGTTTAAACCTATTTTTTTTCTCTCACTTTAATAGGCGTAGATAGGTTCGTCTATCGTCCGGTTGACACTTTTTTTTTAAAAAACAGGAGTGTAGGTTTATCTCATTTTTTCCTGTGCAAGATTGGGTTTCCGGTTCCTTTTAAAGTTTTCTTTTTCATTCTCAATAGCCTTTTGCGTCTTAGTGGATTTATCGCCTTGTTTATACTCTTAAAATATGCACGAATTTTATATAAAAATATAAATTAAATATAAAAATCAAGTAATTGATAATGCTCTTATTAATATAAATAAATTTGATTGTTTTGTTTTTTGATTTTTTTTTTAGATAAGACAAATGGCGTATGGATATTTGAGCTATCCAAGCAATACAAAACGAATTATGCTCAGAAATGTTTGGACTGGAGTATAAGTACCAGTACGCCCATTCCTAGTAGAGTTCTTTCAGTAGACCCTTGTCCTTGCACACTCTGGCAGGCTTCGAGTGATGAGCGGTATAGCCTTGGCCCGAATGACTGTTATTATCTTACTTTCCCTGTTTCTGGCTACAGCAAGGTAAAGTTATTCTTTGTTTTATAATTCTATTTTCAAAATGATCATTAACTAACAGTTTAGATAAATTGACAGCTTGAAAATATAAATTAAAACTGGTTCTCATTTAATGTGTCTTGGAAAATTCCTAGGAAATACTATTTTATACGAAATAATAAAATTGGTTGATTTTGTTTAGTGGCATATCAACGTTTGTATGGTTATTTAATGCCAAAATCTAAATATGATTTTATGATTCAGTTAAATATATTTCGTATGCCTTTTATTACAAATAAATTGTACTGTTGGTAAGTTTATTATAAATGTGTATTGTTGGTTGGCCGTTTTGTTTAGTGGCATATCAACACCTGTATGGGTTATTTAATGCCGAAATGTAAATATTATGAAGACTATTTTCTGGCTTCAACTAAATATATTTCGAACGGAATTATATGCCTTTTACTACAGATAAAATGTATTGTTGGCAATGTTGCTATAAATATTGTACTATAAATTTGTACAAATAATTATATTAATGACCAACATATAGTTTTGTATTACTTGCACCCCTGAAGATGAATTTGGAAAAAGATCGAAAGTACTTGGGAAATGAAAATAAGAATTTAAACAGTTATAGCACATTTCTCTCATCCTTTAACATCAATACATGCAAGGTTATTCGTGAGTATGAATGGATTTTATTAAAAAAATAAACAGACATAATGTCTGTAATTTATTCAATCAAACATGCCTAAAAGTGAATTTGCTGCCTAAATACACACACACACACACACACACACACACACACACATATATATATATATATATATATATATATATATATGATTAAAACTAAAAAAAATATATAATTAATTTTCTGACAAAATGGCAACAAATGGAATTATGTTGGAGAAATAGCCACGGAATTCCGCTTCTGTTCAATAACTATAAATTAACCATAAAGAAGAATAAATTTACCTGTCACTGCACATTTCAACCAAACGTTCCATAGCACTGATGACAAAGATGCGTGCTTTTAGCTTTTTCCTTCAACAACCTACAAGAAAGACGCTAAGCGGAGTTAAAATACATTTTCAAAATAGAATCACATATTAAACAATTAAACAGTGTTTTGTGTTTGCTCAGGGAATATAGTTTCCACAAACCACCACCACCAACAACAAAACTCCCCGGAATATTGAGACCTACTTCTTTGTTTATACCTCGTCTCGTTGGAAAAGGACACAGGGATGTCCGAAAATTATGACTTCGAAATCTTTCTCTTCGTGCTTCAGATTAGTAAAAAGGCTAATATATCATAAATATCATCTGTTATATTTTCCAATATTGTTATTAATTTGCTGTCTTTTCATTACTCCAATTTCATTAACCGGCCTATTAAATCTCTCTCTCTCTCTTATATATATATATATATATATATATATATATATATATCATTCAGTGATACTTCTTATCTTCGTAGTCAAATCTATAACAGATTAAGCTTGTTGCAAATCGAGATATCTCCCTATAACTTTCATCAAAATTCCACGAATCTTCTCATTTAGCTTTAATATTATAGTTTGTTTTATTCTTACCGACAACAATGGTGCACAATGAATATTAAATCTGTTATTGCAACAGAGATAAAAAAATGTAGTCTGAAGAAATCTGTTACTGTTACAATCTTGTATATATGTAAAAATAAGAAGGATCAAAACGGATATCAAAGATTTAGAAATCGATTAAGCAGTACGTTTAAACACATCTAAAAACTAAACTGTTATTACTCTAACGCAAAATAAATGATAGTTTATATAACTTCACCAAAAGTAAGAAAATAAAGCCACTAAAGGTTCTGCAAATGTGAAAGGATATGAGAAAAAGAAAACGTTATTACGGAGAGAGGATAATAAAAGAATAGAAATTAAGAAGAGAGAAGATATCGATTGACATTACGTTTTTGAAGATGTGTTTTTCTTCACTAACTTCTGTAGGAGTTCTTGTAGTCTCCTTTGCGCATCTGCTATCAACACTGAGTCATCAATAAATCTTTATGTTAATCATTTCACCCCAATCAAGGCAGTAAAGTCGCTAAAGCGCAAAATGTTACTGAGTGTGAAAGAATAAGAAAGAAAAAAAAAAAGAAAACCATTATTAAGGAGTGAAAACAATGAAAATAGAGGAATGAAAAGACAGTAAATAACGATTGACATTGCATTTAGTTGTTTCAAGATGAAAGTTAACCGGAAAAAAGGGATTTCCACAATCGAGAAGTGCAATAGAAAAAAAAAATATTAGGATAAAACTTCCGGTTACATCTGTCTAATTCCGCTGTAAAATGATGAGACCTAACCGCCAATCTAGTACTACGATCAAATTCATAAAGTCTAGATTCCATAGAGGAAATAATATTTATTTTGAATAATACAAAATATGGCACAAGACCAAAAGGGAGAATAGAGGAAGGGTGGTTGTCAATCTGTCTTATCTTAAACTTAGCGAGCCAGGAATACTAAACTACACATACTACAGTATTCCTTACACCAAGACAACACATTTTTACTTACCATTCTTACTGCAGCCGCCATAATACCTCCAAGTCACTATGTAGTCCTAACAAGTTCCGATATATACATTTTTTTGTGAGGGAGTGGGAATAAAATAACAGCATTTAAAAATGAAATCCCATTGAATACTAGAAAGTACATCAGAACAATTAACATAAAAACGTTTGTAGAAAAGCACACGAAATTAAAAATGATATTAAAAAACTTAAAAGATATTTCTTGCAAAAATTGTTAAATTAAACCAAATCCCTGTAAATCCACCAGCCTTTATCAACCGGTGCGCCCGGGGGCACTAGTGCGCCCGGGGTTACTAATGCGCCCTGAAAGGTAGGCAGGTGCGCGCGTCAAGTTAACAGAAGAGTAATTTATTAATTACATTTATATATAATATTTATATTTATATATATTATATTTATATATATTTATATATAAGGCAAAAGACACCAAACATATGACTTACATATCGCTAAGTCTTTGTTAGTTGATATTTTTAACTGGACGCTAAATCCCTTAATCTTTAAGAAGGAATGAATAATGCTTTCCTTTTATCTTCTTCAAGCGATTTAAATCAGTCATCGGCATCACTAAAAAAAAAAAAGCAAAAAAAAAAAGCAGATTCTTTATAAATGCACTTAAATTAAAACTGTATTGTCAATCTTCTTTTAACCTAAAATTAATATTTTTTTATTAAATTTCTTTATTAAAAAAGTGCACCCCACAGTTTTAGTTAATTTTCAAGTGCTCCCTGAATTAGAAAAGGAATCAACGTTCCTGTTTTTGGGGGGGAGGGGGGGTTCCGGCGCTGAAGTTCATCCTGAGAAGGCCAAATCCGATATGTAAAATCGTTACAACAATATTATAAGTAAATCCCTTTACAAATCATTTTTTTTCTTTTTACTCAAAGGTGTGTTGCTATCTCAATACCGGATTATGGGAGAGGCGTTCATTGATCAGAGGAAATCTGCAATTATATTCAGCCATCTTAGACAATGCTTTGTGGATGGAAAATGATGATCAACCTTATTCCGATTGTTGCTTGAATTCCATTTACTGCTCAATCTACGATCAATTTCGTCCAAGAGATTACTGTTTAAATTACATATTACCAGTCACACGTAAGTACAATACATTATAGGCTTCAACTTAACATACGAAATGAGAAAAATTGTATACTGACCAAATATATATATATATATATATATATATATATATATATATATATATATATATATATCAGAGATATGTAAATAAAAAGTAAATAAAAAAGTGAACATTGAAGTCAACACTCAAAGGCGACAGGCTGTTTCAGGCATCATGTATGTATCTATGTATGTATAACATTTCAGATCCAAAGAACTTTTTAAACCAGAAATCCGAAGTTTTAAGTCCTTGCTCACATATTAGAAAGTTCCTCTTAAGAATATATGAAGCGGCATAAAAAAGTAATGTACATTCCAATTAAATCCCTTGCCTTTCTTCTTCTTCTTCTTCTTCTTCTTCTATAATTTTGTTAAATAATACTATACCCTTCACTAATTATGTTAAATAATTCTATACCCTTCATTATTTTTGTTAAATAATTCTATACCCTTCTCTATTTTTGTTAAATAATTCTATACACTTCTCTATCCGATATACACTTTTCCTTTAGGCTATCAACGTGAATTATTTTTTTGTTAAATTATTTGAAAACCTTGGGTGTCGCAGTCATGATGTGTAAATTATTGTTCTTTGCAGGATTTACTTTTGGTGACCCACATATTCAGACGTTGGATGGATTTCACTACACATTTAATGGACTCGGAGAATTCGAGCATTTAATCGTCTATAATGCAACCAACCCGGACAATGTCCTCATGAAAATCCAGTGCCGAACGAAAGAGGTTGGCACGGGTGGGAGAAGGGCAACTTCTTTCAGTGGTTTTGTAATTTGGTCCGAAAATGTCGCCATACAAATCAGCACACGGGAGCAAATGGAAGGTAAGATCTTCTACCAATATTGGTCAAAGGAGTCCTCGTTGAGAACTTGGCAAAAGTGTTGTTTAGATATTCAAGATATTGGCAGTATTGTTGAAATTTACCTGTTTACTGTGACCCAATGGTCGAAAAGGTTGGTCGACCTAGATTTTGAAACATAAAAGCAAGAATAAATACTTTGCAAGAATTTCTTAAAAGACAAAAAAATAATAATGCCATTACATGTTGAATATAAATCTCTTTGAATATATCTAAAGGCATTTCTTTATTTCATGTATTCATCTGCCAGAAACATTTTTCCGATGTTAGTTGAGTTAACACGCAAAATATTTTGCTGTAGTATTTTTTCTAAATCTATTCTTCCTCTGCAACTATTGCTTATCGTTTTGTATTATTGATTATCGTATTTGACAGCATAGAAGGCGCACTTTTTTTTCTTTAATAAAATATCTTCCAAAATTCCCCTACGTCTTATATGCCGTCAAATATGGTAATTTGTTAAAATTATTGATGAATAATAGGATTAAAATAAATAGAAAAAAAAAACGAATTTATTAGACAGATACGTATATATACACAGGCGGAGATAGATGATGGCATATGAACATAGAGAGAGTCAGACTTATATGTCCCGGAAAGGGATATATTTGTTCGAAGTAGCAAAGTGGTTGTGGACTAATGTAACCCGGTAGGACAATCTAGCAGGTAACCGTAATGGACTCGTCCTCGTCGTAGGCAATAGGCGTAGTCCCTGTAACTCCACATCAGTCTGTATTTATGGCTGACACCAGAAATCATATTACTGTGAGGGGGAAGCCAGGTGTATGCATATTCATTACATTACAGACAAACGCACATAGGGATAAGTAATAAGAAGAGGTAAAAAGTGTGATGTATCAAGTTATGTATGGGAGACTTTGAGGGTCTAAGGATCAGGAAAATTTCCTCTCGGGAGTTTGTTCCACAAATTAGTAATTTTTAGAGTGCGCTTTTGATGAGATGTCAGAAGACGTCGCACCCATCGAGCAGAAACCTTCGTTATGCCAAGTTTATTGGGTCGAATATTCTCAAATGTCTCACGAGATAGGCCAATAGAATTGGCTATTTGCTTTATAGTCAATTCTCTGCCATCCATCACCATATGGTGAACACGATCAATATTTTCCATTATCAAAAGTTGAATCATCTTCAAAACTCTTCTTTCCCCTCCTAAATTCATGTACCCATTTTTGCAATCTTGATACAGCTGGAGCCTCAACCCCCTAATGAAGCAACTATGTCAGCATGAATGTCCCTGCGAGCTAACCCCTTTTTTCTGCAAGATGGCAAATGTGGTTCATTTACATAAGCAGTCGCTATTTCTGACGACATCATTATACAGTCAGCTGTCAGTTTAATTAGACAGAAACATTGCAGTTATTAATAAGAAGCATGCACGATTTCACAGCTCTAGCATCACCCCTTCATAGTCAGCCTATGAACTTTTCAGCCCACCCTCGTACCTGATAAGAAACAATGCAGTTATTAATAAGAAGAGTTGAAATCAAAGCATGCAAGATTTCACTGCTCTAGCATCATTCCTTCATAGTCAGCCTATGAACTTTTCAGCCCACCCTCGTACCTGATAAGAAACAATGCAGTTATTAATAAGAAGAGTTGAAATCAAAGCATGCAAGATTTCACTGCTCTAGCATCATTCCTTCATAGTCAGCCTATGAACTTTTCAGCCCACCCTCGTACCTGATAAGAAACAATGCAGTTATTAATAAGAAGAGTTGAAATCAAAGCATGCAAGATTTCACAGCTCTAGCATCATTCCTTCATAGTCAGCCTATGAACTTTTCAGCCCACCCTCGTACCTGATAAGAAACAATGCAGTTATTAATAAGAAGAGTTGAAATCAAAGCATGCAAGATTTCACAGCTCTAGCATCATTCCTTCATAGTCAGCCTATGAACTTTTCAGCCCACCCTCGTACCTGATAAGAAACAATGCAGTTATTAATAAGAAGAGTTGAAATCAAAGCATGCAAGATTTCACTGCTCTAGCATCATTCCTTCATAGTCAGCCTATGAACTTTTCAGCCCACCCTCGTACCTGATAAGAAACAATGCAGTTATTAATAAGAAGAGTTGAAATCAAAGCATGCAAGATTTCACTGCTCTAGCATCATTCCTTCATAGTCAGCCTATGAACTTTTCAGCCCACCCTCGTACCTGATAAGAAACAATGCAGTTATTAATAAGAAGAGTTGAAATCAAAGCATGCAAGATTTCACTGCTCTAGCATCATTCCTTCATAGTCAGCCTATGAACTTTTCAGCCCACCCTCGTACCTGATAAGAAACAATGCAGTTATTAATAAGAAGAGTTGAAATCAAAGCATGCAAGATTTCACTGCTCTAGCATCATTCCTTCATAGTCAGCCTATGAACTTTTCAGCCCACCCTCGTACCTGATAAGAAACAATGCAGTTATTAATAAGAAGAGTTGAAATCAAAGCATGCAATTTCACTGATTTCACATGTTTCATAGCATCATTCCTTCATAGACAGCCAATGAACTTTTTAATAAGCCCAAGATTTCCTCGTACCTGATAAGAAACAATGCAGTTGATAAAAAGGTTCAGTGATCTACCTGAAAGAAACAAATCAACTTGCAAGATTTCACTGTTGATAATCAGGTTCATAGTCAGCCTTTTGGCAGCCCACCCTCATGATAAGAAACAATACAACTTAACTTTTGAAAACTAGGTTCAGTGATTTACCTGATAAGCATCAACTTCCCTGGCATAGTAACAGGTTCATGATCCTGATAAGAAACAATGTTGATAAACAGGTTAGTTATTACCTGAAGAAGAGTTGAAATCAAAGCATGCAAACTATTTCACCTGATCTAAACATCATTCCTTCATAGTCAGCCTATGAACTTTTCAGCCCATCGTACCTGATAAGAAACAATACAACTATTAATGGAAGAGTTGAAAACAAAGCATGTTCAAGATTTCACTGATCTAGCATCAATACAACATAGTCAGCCTTGAACTTTTCAGCCCAGTGATCTACCTGATAAGAAACAATGCAGTTACTAATAAGAAGTTGGCTCAAAACATGCAAGATTTCACCTGAAAGCAACAATACAACTTAGGTCAGGCTGTTGATAACTCAGTGATCTACCTGATAAGAAAAAATACAACTTGGGTTGGCTGTTGATAACTAGGTTCAAACACTGATTAGCCTGATAAGAAACAATACAATGGGTTGGCTGTTGATAACTAGGTTCAGTGATCTTGAAATCAAAGATGAAGTTGAAACACTGCTCTAGCCCATTTGGCATATAACTATTCATGAAACAATGCAACTTAGTTGATTGATAAACAATATCTACCTAATACAAGAGTTGAAATCAAAGGTTCCGCATCTACCTGATTTCAATATGCTCTAGCATCATTCCTTCATAGTCAGCCTATGAACTTTTCAGCCCACCCTTCAGTGATACCTGATAAGAAACAATGCAGTTATTAATAAGAAGAGTTGAAATCAAAGCATTGCATAACTATTTCACTGATCTAGCATCATTCCTTCATAGTCAGCCTATTGAACTTTTCAGTTCACCCTCTACCTGATAAGAAACAATGCAACTATTAATAAGAAGAGTTGAAATCAAAGCATGCAACTTTTGGCTCTAACTATTCATTCCTTCATAGTCAACCTATGAACTTTTGGCAGCCCACCCTGATCTACCTGATAAGAAACAATGCAACTTGGGTTGGCCGTTGATAACTAGGTTCATCTACCTGAAAGAAACAATACAAGAGTTCTACCTGATAAGAAATCAAAGTGATCATAAGCAATACAACTTTTGATAACTAGGCTCTAGCATCATTCCTTCATAGTCAGCCTGATGAACTTTTCAGCCCACCCTGATACCTGATAAGAAACAATGCAGTTATTAATAAGAAGGTTCAAATCAAACCATGCAAGATTTCACTGGGTTGGCATCATTTCCTTCATAGTCAGCCAATGAACTTTTTCAGCCCACCCTCGTACCTGATAAGAAACAATGCAGTTATTAATATCTACTGTTCAAAGATCTACCTGAAACAATACAACTTGTTGAAATCAAACCTGATAAGAAAGATTTCAACTTGCTCTAGCATCATTCCTTCATAGTCAGCCTATGAACTTTCAGCCCACTACCTGATAAGAAATAAGAAACAATGCAGTTGATAATAGGTTCAGTTCTAAAAGAAAGCAATACAACTTTTCACTGATCTAGCATCATTCCTTCAAGAAACAATCAACCTATTGAAACTTTTCAGCCCACCCTCTACCTGATAAGAAACAATGCAACTATTAATAAGAAGAGTTGAAAACAAAGCATGTTCAGATTTCACCTGATCTAGAAACAATACAACATAGTCAGCCTATGAACTTTTAGCAACCATAAATAGGTTCAGTCGTACCTGATAAGAAACAATGCAACTTATTGGCCGTAAGAAGAGTTGAAATCTACCTGATGAAAGAATTCAACTTGGGTTGCTAAATAGGTTCATTCCTTCATAAGAAACAATACAACTGAACTTTTAACAGGTTCACCCTCTACCTGATAAGAAACAATACAACTTGGGTTGGCTGTTGATAAGAAGGTTCAGAAATCTAAGCTGATAAGAAACAATTCACACTTGGCATCATTCCTTCATAGTCAGCCTATGAACTTTTCAGCCCAATGATCGTACCTGATAAGAAACAATGCAGTTATTGATAACTAGGTTCAGTTGAAAACAAAGGGTTGCACGATTTCTACCTGATCTAGCAAACAATCCAACATAGTTGGCCTTGATAACTTTTTCAGCCCATCTACCTGATAAGAAACAATAAGAAACAATTGGCAGTTGATTAATAAGAAGAGATCTGAAATAAAAACAATGCAACTTTTGGCTCTTGATATCATTCCTTCATAAGAAACAATACAATGAACTTGGCTCGTTGATAATAAGTTGCA